CCATGTATTTAACACATTAAATGAAGAATGAAGTCATTCTTTAAGCGATGAAACACAGTTGTATTATAACAGCAGTGTGTTTAGTCTCTGTAAGTGAAAGTGACGGAGTTTTTCGGAGGTGTTACAGTACGGCTTGTGTGCTTTGCGAGTCAGTGGGACAATAGGTCATCTGTGCCCCGTACAAGAGGGCGGAGACGCCATCGCCAAGGAGACTAAAGCTTCTCACCTGATTGGCTGAATTGGGGTTTTGAATCGTTTACTTTGGACCGACTCTGTTTGTAGGATTTTGTTCTCAATTAAATGTGGAATGCAGAGTTTTTTGGGGTGCCTGTGTGTATGTGCCCTTTCTTTTTATTCATAGGCAAATATAAAGGTCCCTTTAGAGAGGTTTGTGGAGTGAGCGAGAGTGATATCACCAAATCCGAAGTCTTTTTAGTGATGTGATTTAACTGGATTTTAACAAAGTGTTTCTGCTATAGGTGCAACTACACAAGAACCACTCTAGCACTCTTTAAATCTTTTTTTGTTGTTGTTTTTCGGTTTAGCGCAAACGTTAAAAATGCAGGAAAGCCTATTCCTGTATTACTGAAGTAGAGTTTTTTTGGTTTGAATGTAAAAAAAGCATATTTAACGCAAGGGACATATAAGCTTTAATGAACCTACATTAGAACAAACACTCTTCGACAACTTTGAAATGTGTCTCTCCAGCCTTCATACGCGAGGAAAACATAAAAGGCTGACCAATCTTAGACGAGCATGAAAATCAGGCTGATCTAAAATAATGAATATGTCCTTGAGAAAAACAAAGGGCCCTCACAAAGCGAGAGACGGAGCTATAGAGATAGGAAAGATGGCTGATAATTGTTTTCAAGTCCTAGGCTATCTGTAAATGAGTTTGTTGTGCTGAAAACACTGTGTTTCCTGTCTTTTATACAGCTCCCAGTTTTTTTTCTTTCTTTCTATTCCTTGCCTTTGTTTCTTGTCATCCCAGCTCTCATATTTACTGTCTCCCTGGCTTTCATGGAGCTCCCGCTGCAAATTCTTTTGTGTACCAGGCTTTTAACATCTTTGCCCGGCTATTTATTTCTCCTCTCTGCTTTCACCCCAGACTTTGAATCTGTGCAACAGAAGACATTTTACCTCAGCTTTTATTGGTAATTAGGCGATGTCCTCCCTCACCCCCGTGACCCCTGTGAGATGCATAAGGATCACAGAGTAAACAAGCACAGAAGGGCCTCATGCTGCACGCACAGAGATGGTTTGTGCTCAGTGTTTGTTTATTTCTTTCTTTCGACGTCTCAGTGCAAATATTCTGAAACAATTTCCAGTATCTGCTGTAATGTTTGCTCAAAGGGAAGGTTTCCATATCAAATGCTTTTTCATTAAGATCAATATATTTTTAGCTATATTATTTATATAATTATTATATTTACTATATATAATGAAATTAATATATATTATATCAAATTAATGCATAAATTGTTTTACACTACCAGTCAGAAATTTGGATTAACTGGAATTATTTTTCACATTACCTTTATGCTTAAATGGTTGGGATTAGTTTGTAAATAAACATGAAATATGAATTAGTTTAAGTATTAGCTTATAGATAAATATGAAGTATGAATCTATTTGCAAAACTACTATTGTTAATAACGTTATAACATATTTATAGGAAAGAATGAAAGGCAAGTGTCCAGCATATGTGCACACCTTCAGTGGATCACAAATAATAATAATAATAATAAAAAAATCTTTATCACATTATAATTGAACATACTTTCATTTGTTTTGTTTCTTATTTTCATTGAATTTACTATTATTTTAAAATGTGGGAAATTATTTTTAAAAATAAGTTTGAACTTTATTCATAAATGTTTAAAACTCAATGTGTGGAGAGTGGAGAATTGGGTCTGCAGCCATTGCAATAAAAGATTAAATAAAGAGTAACAAAGCTCCATTAGACCAACAAGCCTTTTTCTGAAATATAACGCAGTTCGCATTTCTGCAGAGCTGAAAATAAGTGCTCGCAGCAGTAATGTGGTGTGAAAAGATGGCCAAGCGGTCAAAAGAAAAAAGGGGACTGCTTGATAACCTTCCACGAGCGACTGGCACATTTCATTTTAAAAATAACTGAGGTTGTTTTGTGGTCAACATTTAAATTGAATCCGAGGCGTCATCCCACGATTTTCAAACACGGAGTCTGGGACGTGTTGCAAATCATTTACAAAATGTTTCAGTGATCCAGGGTTCACCATTAGTCTCGGTAAGGTCATGTGAGCTCTCATGTGGCCGGTCTTTCGGGTCCCAACCCCCACAATACACTCCAATTTTCCACAAAGTGGGCTCAGGGGAACGAGGTTTCCCTAGACGCATCTCCAAACTTCAGTCATTTTGTCAGATGAATGCTGGTTATACATAGCCCTATTTGCATTGCAAGTTTCATTAAATCCCGGAGTGTCATTACAGTTCATATTCTTAATTATACTGCAAATTTCCCTCAGGGAACTTTGTGGAGGCCACTTCTCCCCACGATCTGTCCATATGGTGTTTAATTAAAAGTTTTCTTAAAGAGTAAATTGCATTCAATTCAATTAAAACTGTAATGTCATAGCCAAATAATGGGCTCAGCCAGTGTGGAGGAAAAAGGAATATCATTTCGCAATATTTGCAGCAAAAAAAAGTGCAGATCTTGTTTTTTTCCCTTCTCTTTCTTAAAAAAAGAAAAGAAAAAAATCCCGGAACAAAATATGCAAGAGGCAAATATCACTAAAAACCTCCTACATGTTATCAGGCCTCAGGCACTGCACATTAACATTGCTGGAGCTATTTCTAGATTCCACTCTTGGATTTCATACCATGACAAATGAAGCGTTGGAGTTTGGAATTCCTATTTATCTGCAGCGAACAGAGGCACCTCTTTGGGGGAGAAGAATGGAGGGTTTAAGAGCGAGAGACAAAAAAAAAAATCCATTTTGCAGGATAAATAAAAAAATAAAAAAATAGATGGCGTTGTGTTTTGGAAGGTAAACCGGCGTGATTGCGTCTGGTGAGAGGGCGGCACGGTCCCGGTGTCAAAACATTTCTATCAGGCCAGCAATGCCAGACTGTTCTCTATGCAGACTTTAATAATGTGAGGGCAGATACAGTCCTGAGGGCAGAGTGGGTGACCACAGAACATCTTTAAATGGGGGGGAATTACAGATTGTTAAGAACACGCGGCTCCCAACAACCATCTGCTGGGACTGAGGTGTCTTCTTTTTTTAATTCGTAAAAACCTCTAAATCGTTATGGAAAGTAGAAAATAAGTTCTGTCTCCCTCCTCTTCTCTGCCGTTCTCACATTTCTGAACAGTGGAGGCCCCTGAAGCATAAACAAAGCCCAGTGTGTTTCCTCTGTGAGTGGAGGGAAATGGACTGCAGAAGGTTGGCCCCGTGCTGATGGACCGCACCACAGTGTTTACCCCCCTGCCCACACGACACACACAGGGCCACAGACAGACTCTCACACACGATCTGCTACACAATCTCTTCCAGATCAATGGATTCAAGAGAAATAATCAGTTACTGGGATCATGTGACCCACTTTATGAACGTTAAGCTGTCTACATTGATGTCAGCATGCTGTTCCGGGCAAGTTATCTCAAGCCTTCACAAAGCCAATAAAGCACATGCTCAGAAGTATAATATTAGGGGAAAAAAACTATTTTGTATTGTTTAAAGCAGCACTATGTAAATTTTTCTGTGTTCAAAATTTGCAAAATGTATATAATGAGCGAGTACATCATGAATTCATCTTCCAAACCACGTTTTGTCTTATTCCGAATCACTACGGTACACTTATAATAAGTACTTATATTTGGACTATTGTAGCCTGGTCGGGTCGTCACTGCTGCGGAGTAACACATACCTGCGTGAATCGCCATAGACATAAACTTAGAGAAGTAGCTCCGGTTGGAATGTTCTTCCGCGGGATGTGTGCAGTTCTGTTTATTAACCGCTAGAGCGCCAAAAGTTACATAGTGCTGCTTTAAGATAACGCAATGTTTTTCCATTATAAATGGCACTTTCTATATCACTAGCATTCTGAGAGAAAAGTTGAATAGAAAAAAAGTCCCCCTATTTTTCTTTAATGACAGCAGTATTTGAGCTGCATGCAGGGGCGTAGATTACGCGGGGGACGTGTGTCCCCCACTTTTAATATCACATAAATTCATCCCCCGCACTTTTTCGGGCAAGTGTGTTCGCATAGAGGTTTTCAAGAGCCGGTGTGAATAAATATAGATTTAATTTAAAGAGAACGGATAATTTTGGGATGATTTGTTTGTTTTATT